TCACTATATTAAGGGGAGAGGGTGCCTTCACACACATATTCGGTGTGAAATATCTTCCGCCCCCCAGCGGAGCGCTTCGGCGCCTCTGCGAAGCAAAGCGCGGCATTCAAAAACAACAACCAAAATTGCCGTCGCTTCCCTGCCCTGCAATGGCTGGAGCAGAAGGAGAGAGAGAGAGATTTTAGTCTCATTGGATCAGAGGAATGGCAGTGGAGCGGGCTTATGGCGAGTAGGCTCGCGCTCTATCAATTACACTTGCCAGGTCTCTCTTCCGTTTGGACATTATTTACTCCGTCTCTCTCTCTCTCTCTCTCGGCGCACACGTCGCCACCCTACTAGTTTCCGTCACAGCATATGCTGCGGCCTTTCAGTCCGGAACGGGGCTCCCCTTCGCCTTGCTGTCTGCCCAACTTAGCGGACTTGCGTTGGCTGATCACCCCGTCTTCGCGTCTGTGCCGGCCTTCAATGCAGCGCCCAACCGTCTCTTGACCGAGATTCATTGCACTATTCCACGCGCAAACGGCTACCCTAAATGTGCATAGACAACGCTCATGGTTCAACACGACCAGGGCGCAGTCTGGGAGCCGAGTATACTAAAAAGAGAGTTTAGCAGCCAAAACTCGTCAAAGCACACGTTGGGTTACCCCATCACCTAACAACGATGATGGCGGTTCCCACCCGTGAAATACACAACCTAACCAATATTGGGCGACGATGGCGCTCATGAGCCCACGTCCCCACAAACAGTAAGAGAAAGAGAGAGAGGAGGAGATGGGCCAATGTGCGGTCCCTCGCCCAATGTCTTATGCCTCGCTGGGGCAAAGAGAAGAGGAGCGGATAAGGGAGGAGATTGGCCAACGTGCGGTCCCTCGCCCAATGTCGGCTGCCTCGCTGGAGCTGGGTAAAGAGGAGAGGAGCGGATAAGGGAGGAGATTGGCACACACGGTGGCGCTGCCGGCGCCGAGGATAGCAAGAGAAGGTGCAGTTTGATCTGATCATCTGGTTTGCTATTTCTCTAAGGCCAACGTGCGGTCCCTCGCCCAATGTCGGCTGCCTCGCTGGGGCAAAGAGAAGAGGAGAGGATAAGGGAGGAGATTGGCACACACGGCGGCGCTGCCGGCGCCGAGGATAGCGAGAGAAGGTGCAGTTTGATCTGATCATCTGGTTTGCTATTTCTCTAAGGCCAACGTGCGGTCCCTCGCCCAATGTCTTCTGCCTCGCTGGGGCAAAGAGAAGAGGAGCGGATAAGGGAGGAGATTCGCCAACGTGCGGTCCCTCGCCCAATGTCGGCTGCCTCGCTGGAGCTGGGGCAAAGAGGAGCGGATAAGGGAGGAGATTGGCACACACGGTGGCGCTGCCGGCGCCGAGGATAGCAAGAGAAGGTGCAGTTAGATCTGATCATCTGGTTTGCTATTTCTCTAAGGCCAACGTGCGGTCCCTCGCCCAATGTCTTCTGCCTCTCTCTCAATCTCACTATTTTGGCCGCCGTGATAGGCGCCGCCAACAGCAGCAGCTACCTGGTTGATCCTGCCAGTAGTCATATGCTTGTCTCAAAGATTAAGCCATGCATGTGTAAGTACAAGCCGATTTAAGGCGAAACCGCGAATGGCTCATTAAATCAGCTATGTTTCATTGGATCTGTAAACCCACTTACTTGAATAACTGTGGCAATTCTAGAGCTAATACATGCAATTGGTCTCTGACCGCAAGGGAAGAGCGCTTTTATTAGTTCAAAACTGGTCGGGCCCCGGTCCGTAACCCACCTGTGGTGAATCTGAATAACTTCGGGCTGAGCGCACGGTCTCCGCACCGGCGCCGCTTCTTTCAAGTGTCTGCCTTATCAGCTTTCGATTGTAGGTTATGCGCCTACAATGGCTATAACGGGTAACGGGGAATCAGGGTTCGATTCCGGAGAGGGAGCCTGAGAAACGGCTACCACATCTAAGGAAGGCAGCAGGCACGCAAATTACCCACTCCCGGCACGGGGAGGTAGTGACGAAAAATAACGATGTGAGTCTCATCCGAGGCCTCGCAATCGAATGAGTACAATTTAAATCCTTTTAACGAGTATCCATTGGAGGGCAAGTCTGCGCCAGCAGCCGCAATTCCAGCCCACAGCGTATATTAAAGTTGTTGCGTTAAAAAGCTCGTGAGTTGATCTCAGTTCGATCGACGGTGCACCGTGTTTACTGTCACGCCTCAACAGCCTGCTGCCTTCGCGACACGGGATGTTTTGTCGAGTGTCCTCCCGGAAAGTGGCCGGAGAGTTTACTTTGAAAAAAATAGAGTGCTCAGAGCAGGTTAATGAATGGCCCGAATGGTGATGCATGGAATAATGAATAGGGACCTCGGTTCATTTTTGTTGGTTTGAACCAGAGGTAATGACTAATCGGAACAGGCGCAAGTATTCAGATTAAGTGACGCTAGAGGTGAAATTTTTGGACCGTCGCGGTAAGACGAACTGATTGCGAAAGCATTTGCCAAGGATGTTTTCATTAATCAAGAACGAAAGTTAGAGGTTCGAAGGCGACGCTCTAGTTCTTAACCATAAACGATGCCAACTAGCGATCCGCCGGCGTTATTCCCATGACCCGGCGGGCAGCTTCCGGGAAACCAAAGTCTTTGGGTTCCGGGGGAAGTATGGTTGCAAAGCTGAAACTTAAAGGAATTGACGGAAGGCACCACCAGGAGTGGAGCCTGCGGCTTAATTTGACTCAACACGGGAAACCTCACCAGGCCCAGACACCGGAAGGATTGACAGATTGAGAGCTCTTTCTCGATTCGGTGGGTGGTGGTGCATGGCCGTTCTTAGTTGGTGGAGCGATTTGTCTGGTTAATTCCGATAACGAACGAGACTCTGGCCTACTAAGTAGTCGACGGATCTCCAGAAAATGGTGTCCAGTTCGCAACTTCTTCTTAGAGGAATAAGCGCAATTTAGCCGCACGAGATTGAGCAATAACAGGTCTGTGATGCCCTTAGATTTTGGGCCGCGACGCTACAATTGAGCAAGGGATCAACGATTTCTCCGAGAGGAGCGGGTAACCGTTCAAAGCCTTTCTGATAGGGATTGGGGCTTGTACTCGTTTCCCATGAACGAGGAATTCTAGTAAGTGTAAGTCATCAGCTTGCGCTGATTACGTCCCTGCCCTTTGCACACACCGCCTCGTCGCTACTACAAATGATTGAATGATTTAGTGAGGCCTTCGGACTGGCGCTCTTGGATTGTCGGCCCCGTTGCCCGCGAGGGTTTTCTGGGGTCGTCGCCTCGAGCTGACGGAAAGATGTCCAAACTTGATCATTTAGAGGAAGTAAAAGTCGTAACAAGGTTTCCGTAGGTGAACCTGCGGAAGGATCATTAACAGAGAGAAAGAGAACGGGTCGCTCTTAAAACTACTACTACTCTCCTGATTTGGGCGGTCTCGGGCTCTGCTCTGGCAACTCCAGCAGCGAAAGAGGACAATCCCGGCCCCCGCACCAAAATAGGTACCACCACGCTGTAGGTGGACCACACTCGGGCGAGAGCGCGAAGACCGGAGGAGGAGGACGGACGGGGCTTTGGACGGCTGCCCGTCCGTTCCTTACTACCGGCGAATAAGCCTCTTGACCCAAAAAGAGTGAAATTCAAGTGTCAAAAAACAACAACAAGTCGTCCGGCCAAACCCAAACCACAAACTTGGGCTATGTCTGTCAAACCCTTTCATTGAGACTCGACCTGTGATGGTTAGTCGCAAAAAGACCAAATGGCAAATACACAACTCTTAACGGGGGATCACTCGGCTCGTGGGTCGATGAAGACCGCAGCAAACTGCGGGTCGGTATGTGAATCGCAAGAATACCAGATACATCGACAAGTTGAACGAGCATTATACAGCGCGCAGCTATATGAGCTTGTCGCCACTTCACGAGGGGTCGGAAATACACATATCCATCGTTGCTGCGAAGCTCGCGCTCGGACTGTCTCCCCTAATAACAGGTAACCAACCGAGAGCTCGTCTGTTTGAATCGCCCGCCTTTGCGCGAGGCGTGCCCTTAAAACAAGCAAGTTTATCACTAGTAAGTCCATGGACTTGGCGCACCCACATTCAACCACAACAGCGACAGTTGTCGCCCGCAGAATAACTGGAGGCGGCTTCTTGCCTGCTGTCCACAGAGAGAGACACCTAATGGCCGTCAAGCCGCTCATGGCTGATTACGTTCTAAGAGGCACTCCATCCCACGAAGAGGAAACGAAAACGGGTCGGATATCTTTTAAGTAAGCCCCGCCGGAATT